ATGCATTGATAATAATATTAAGGGTGTTCAGTACAAATGAATGGTTGCTAAGGAAGCAGCGGCTGCTTGTACCTGCAGCATCCTTAGCAACCACTGACATCACCCGTTCCATTCTCATACATGGCTGGCAATCTCCTGGAACTGAACGTTACATCATTGCCTAGACATGACCCCGTAGCTCCTTACAGAGTGTGAGAGGATGCTGATGGATGTTCGTGGTGCACCTCGTGTTACATTTGTATGAATGAAAATAACATTTTCTGTAAATAGTATGAGTCTTTAAGCGGAACAGTACAATCAGTCTGTAGATGCAGTAAATCATGCTGGTTATACTCACTGTGGAACCTAAGGGGTTAATCCTGCGCATTGTGTAAAAAGGCTGCTTGATCCTGTCTTCTCTGATCCTTCCCTTTTTTCTTAGTCCCCAATCCATCTGCTGATAAAACAGAGCTCTAGGAGCCACTCTGCACATGCTCAGTTTGGTGTGTATTGCTAGAGAATGGATGAACAAATATTACCGCATTCATGGAAGAGTTGATTGTGGGGATGAGAGGAGTTACCTCATAAAACATGACTTAGTTGTGAAATTGTCACCTCCTGTGCAATTCCCCTAAAAAAAAAGATCATCCAAATTTCACTTATTGAGCTGCATAGGATCAATTTTCTAAATAAATATATTTTTCTTACATTTATTTAGAGGATTTTTTTTCTTATTTCTTTTTGTGTTTTTTTTTTTTTTAGTTAATGTTTTCCTTTTCTCTGTATTTTATTGTTCTTTGTGTTCTGCCACTTTCTTTTATTTTTTATTTTATCTCTCTTTTAATTCAGCTGTTTTTTTTTTTTCTTTCTGTGAAAAAAAGTAAAATAATTTGGCTAATGAGGGTCTGCTGTTGGCGCAGGAAGAAGTTTGTGTTTGTTGAAAGAACTTTCTGCAACACTCAGGATCTAATTAAAGCCGACTGCACACCTGAAAACCACCCAAAACCGCCTTCGTTTCGCCTTCCCACATGGACTCTGAAAGGATCGATTTTCTTTATCCCCTCAGAGACCCCCAATCTGTGGAGAGGTTCCTGGTTTATCAGCAGAATTCTGGGAACACCCTATGAGAAACGGCAGCTTATGTTCAAAGATGTTCAAAGTTTATACTTAGGTTATATAGAGTACAGAACAGGATTAAAAAGGGGGGGGGGGGGAGCGAGTTTCAAAACTGCAACTTTGTAAGTTTCCGTCATGAGCTGACTACATGAAACATGACATATACATTTCCTGGTATAAACTGTTTCTGCTGCTTCCTGAGAATCGGCTGAACACAGAAAAACTCAGGGACATCTTATCATTATTATTATTATACAGTATTTATAAAGCCCCCATAGTTGGCTCCAGCGCTGTACATTACAAAGGGGGACAGAACATGTGACAGAACAATACCAATACGATGTGATACATGAGGGGGATTGAGGGCCCTGCTCTTTGGAGCTTACAATCTAGGAGGGAGGGGATGGTGGTACAGGAGGAGATAGCTGTGGGGGATGGAGTGGTAGGAAGAGTGGAGGAGGTCGGCAGGTTAGCAGGGGGTGGGGTAGGCTTCCCTGAAGAGATGGGTTTTCAGGGTGCGCCTAAAGGAGAGGAGAGTAGGTGATAATCTGATGGGTTGGGGCAGGGAGTTCCAGAGGATGGGTGACACCCTGGAGAAGTCCTGGAGGCGGGCATGGGAGGAGGAGACCAGGGAACTAGAGAGAAGGAGGTCTTGTGAGGAGTGGAGTGTGCGTGTTGGGCGGTACTTGGATATTAGGTCAGTGATGTAGTTTCGGGGCAGTATGGTGGACGGCTTTGTACATCAGTGTTAGGATTTTGAATTTGATCCGTTGTGCAATCGGAAGGCAGTGGAGGGATTGGCAGAGGGGGGTTGAGGACACTGAATGGAGGCCAGTGGAGGGATTGGCAGAGGGGGGTGGAGGACACTGAATGGAGGCCAGTGGAGGGATTGGCAGAGGGGGTGGAGGACACTGAGTGGAGCCAGTGGAGGGATTGGCAGAGGGGGGTGGAGGACACTGAGTGGAGGCCAGTGGAGGGATTGGCAGAGAGGGGTGGAGGACACTGAGTGGAGGCCAGTGGAGGGATTGGCAGAGGGGGTGGAGGACACTGAGTGGAGCCAGTGGAGGGATTGGCAGAGGGGGGTGGAGGACACTGAGTGGAGGCCAGTGGAGGGATTGGCAAAAACAGAGGGGGGTGGCAAAAAACAGAGCGGTTAGTAAGGTGGATGAGTCTGGCAGCCGTATTCAGGATGGACTGAAAGCGGGGATAGCCAGCGGCGAGGCAGGCCAGTGAGGAGGGAGTTGCAGTAGTCGAGTCGTGATATGATGAGGGAGTGGATGAGCTGTTTAGTGGTTTCTGGGGTTAGGAAAGTGCAGATTTTGGCGATGTTGCGGAGGTGGAGTCTGCATGTTGCGGAGGTGGAGTCTGCATGTTGCGGAGGTGGAGTCTGCATGTTGCGGAGGTGGAGTCTGCATGAGTTTGTTAGTGAATAGACTTGGGGCTGGAAGGACAGATTGGAGTCCAGAATGACACCTAGTACTCTGGCTTGTGGGGCGGGCCTGATGGTGGCGTTGTTGGACGTGATGGAGAAGTCAATGGAGGGTGGTGTGCGGGCTGGAGGGAAGACTAGGAGCTCGGTTTTGGAGAGGTTCTTATCTTTGTTTATACATCCTTGAGCAAGCTGAAACAGTTTCATTAAACTTCTAATATATCTAATATAATATATCTAATATATCTTCAAAAACCAACTTATTACTTAAAATGGCGTACATCAACAAAATGGAGGTTATCTCGATCTTTTCAGACTCCGACGGAAAAACTGTAACCTGTTATATTTTTTAAAAGTCTGTTACTAGGTATAGTTGATCCATCTGCACCACACCCCTAATTAAATAATCCAAAATTGTGTGGGTGGGGCTTTCAAGGTGCTAAAATTCCCTTCAGGATGACACACTCAAACAGACAAATATAAAAAACAAAATCACATTTTATTATAAATAGTATTAAAAAAATCCTCCCATAAATACAATTGATTCTATCATCCCCCTTCAGTGCGATAGATCCATATTTATAGAAATGATATAGAATGACTGTAATCTTGATAGACGTAGAGATTTTACGAAGGTGGTAAAACCCAACACGTTTCGTCGTTTGGGCTTCTTCAGGGGGTCATATATAGGGGAACTTGTTATATACAAATTATGAAATGTATTATTTTGTATTTATGATATGATTATTATCTGTTACTTACAAAATATTCTAGATTTAAAGTGAGAAATTAGAACGACGTAAAGTAGAACTATAGGCAAAACCTTTTTTTTTTTTCATTTTGGATAGAGTAACCCCTGTCAAATTTTTTTTTGTCGTCTGTGTCCCATTGGGAAAATTGCACTTCACTTCCTGTCCCATATCCAAACTGGAAGTGAAAGTAAATCCCAGCAAATTAAGGGAATTCCTTGGGGACCCCCTAGGTCTCCATTTGAAGATTTCCCCTCTATTCCAGGCTTTATTTCTCAGAGAATAGGAATTCCCCTTTTCTGAGTCACCCCTTGTCTCTGCCCCCCTACCCACCTCTGAGCACCGTCCCTTGGTTCCACCCCCTACCCACCTCTGAGCACCGTCCCTTGGTTCCACCCCCTACCCACCTCTGAGCACCGTCCCTTGGTTCCACCCCCTACCCACCTCTGAGCACCGTCCCTTGGTTCCACCTCCTACCCACCTCTGAGCACCGTCCCTTGGTTCCACCCCCTACCCACCTCTGAGCACCGTCCCTTGGTTCCACCTCCTACCCACCTCTGAGCACCGTCCCTTGGTTCCACCCCCACCCACCTCTGAGCACCGTCCCTTGGTTCCACCCCCTACCCACCTCTGAGCACCATCCCTTGGTTCCACCTCCTACCCACCTCTGAGCACCGTCCCTTGGTTCCACCCCCTACCCACCTCTGAACACCATCCCTTGGTTCCACCCCCTACCCACCTCTGAGCACCGTCCCTTGGTTCCACCCCCTACCCACCTCTGAGCACCGTCCCTTGGTTCCACCCTCTACCCACCTCCGAGCACCATCCCTTGGTTCCACCCCCTACCCACCTAACAGTACCACCCCTTTTTGAGAATACAGAACCAAGTATTATTTTGTGGTGCTAAGTATATATATTTTTTAATGATAACAAAAAAAGCAACAAGATAGATCCCTTGCAATCAGCATAAATAGAAGCCCCCAGCAACAATAGACCCACCACAATACTATACTTCCCAAACAACAATGGACCCTGCATCAACAACAGATCTCCCAGCAGCCAGAATCAATAGAACTCTCTCTCAACTGTAGATCCCTCCCAGCAACAATTGATCCCCCCCCAGCAACATAAGACCCTTCTCTTCCAGCAACAATAGACCCCCAGCAACTATAGATGCACAGCAATATTTGCAGAATAGTGACCAGACATGCGCATGCACATAGTCACTCCAGAGAACACGTCTCCAGTTCTCTAGAGTCCAGTGGCGGCGTGCTTTACACCACTGCATCCGACGCTTTGCATTGCACTTGGTGATGGAAGGCTTGGATGCAGCTGCTCGACCATGGAAACCCATTCCATGAAGCTCTCTACGCACTGTTGTTGGGCTCATCTGAAGGCCACACCAAGTTTGGAGGTCTTTAGCTATTGACTCTGCAGACAGTTGGCGACTTCTGCGCACTGTGTGCTTCAGCATGCGCTGACCCCGCCCTGTCATGTGACGTGGCCTACCACTTGGTAGCTGAGTGGCTGTTGTTCCCAGTGGCTTCCACTTTGTTATAATCCCACTAACAGTTGAGCGTGGAATATTTAGTAGCCAGGAAATGTCACGCATGGACTTATTGCCCAGGTGGCCACCTATCACGGGACCACACTTGGAGTCACTGAGCTCCTGAGAGCAACCCATTCTTTCACCAATCTTTGTAGAAGCAGTCTGCGTGCCTAGGGGCTTGATTGTATACACCTGTGTCCATGGAGGGGATTGGAACAGCTGAATCACATGATATGGAGGGGATTGGAACACCTGAATCACATGATATAGAGGGGATTGGAACACCTGAACCACATGATATAGAGGGGATTGGAACACCTGAATCACATGATATGGAGGGGATTGGAACACCTTAATCACATGATTGGGAGGGGATTGGAACGCCTGAATCACATGATTGGGAGGTGATTGGAACACCTGAATCACATGATTGGGAGGGGATTGGAACACCTGAATCACATGATTGGAGGGGATTGGAACACCTGAATCACATGATTGGAGGGGATTGGAACACCTGAATCACATGATTTGGAGGGGATTGGAACACCTGAATCACATGATATGTAGAGGATTGGAACACCTGAATCACATGATTGGGAGGGGATTGGAACACCTGAATCACATGATTTGGAGGGGATTGGAGCACCAGAATCACATGATTTGGAGGTGGAGGGGACAATACTTTTGGCAATATAGTGTATATTATGTGGGTGGGCTACAACACACATAAAGGGATAGGCTTTAACACACATATGTGGGGGGCTTTAACGCACCAATGGGGGTGGGCTTTAAAGCAAATATTGGGGTGGGCTTTAACACATATATGGGGGTGGGTTTTAACACACATATGGGGGGGGGGGCTTTAATTCACATACGGGAGTGGCTTTAATGGACATATGGGGCCGGGCTGTAATGCACATATGGGGGGGACTTTAACTCACAAATGGGGGGGGGTTCACTTTAACACACCTATGGGGAGCTATAACACACCTATGGGGAGCTATAACACACCTATGGGGAGCTATAACACACCTATGGGCAGCTATAACACACCTATGGGGGGCTATAACACACCTATGGGGAGCTATAACACACAAATGGGGGGCTATAACACACATATGGGGGGCTATAACACACCTATGGGGAGCTATAACACACATATGGGGAGCTATAACACACATATGGGGGGCTATAAAACACACCTATGGGGAGCTATAACACACATATGGGGGGCTATAACACACCTATGGGGAGCTATAACACACATATGGGGGGCTATAACACACATATGGGGGCTATAACACACCTATGGGGAGCTATAACACACATATGGGGGGCTATAACACACATATGGGGAGCTATAACACACATATGGGGGGCTATATAACACACATATGGGGGGCTATAACACACCTATGGGGAGCTATGACACACATATGGGGGGCTATAACACACATATGGGGGGCTATAACACACCTATGGGGGGCTATAACACACATATGGGGGGCTATAACACACATATGGGGGGCTATAACACACATATGGGGGGCTATAACACACATATGGGGGGCTATAACACACCTATGGGGGGCTATAAACACACATATGATGATGGGCTACAACATACATATGTGTTACGTGATCAGCAACAGATTACTGTCTATGCCTCAAGAATCCCAGAAATCTTCTGCCCCATCACGCAGGAAACTGTCAATCCAATAAACATCTGTGTCTGCCATCATTTTCAGCTGCCAATCTGCAGCACTTGAGAAAACTAAAGCTGTATTGAATGGCACGGGGGGGGATGTGATTTTCTTTTGGGTTAGATTCAGGCGAGAGTCTAAACCCACTGCTCCTCTAAAATGCAATCTGCGCTCCTCTCAAAGGGTGGACTGCTTCTCCCTCAATATTTTCTTACCCAAGGTCGAGGTCTACTGTATATGACCAGTCCAGGTCTGTTGATAATGAAAAGGAGATGCTAACCGCTAGCCCTGGGTAACACAGACAGTCCATATTTCAAGGCACTCTCCTATATGAAGCCTCTTCAGAGCAGGTCCACTTATAATAATGTGTAATTCAATGTGACACAATTTCCTGAACGAAGCAGGAGATGTATTACTGGAATAGCCAGAGGCTATAAAATCTCATTGGTGCAGAAACTGATCAATATTCAGCGTGACTTTTATTGACGGGTGCCGGGACGATTACATGTGCCGCCTTTCCTTCCGTAATTACAAATGCCGTCCTATGTGACCACAAAGAGTGACCACACTGAGGACCTCCGAGGACCTCCGACCAAAGGATCAACGACACGCATCAAACAGCTTCCAACTTTTATCCGGAAAGGAAGATTTTCTTTAACTTACCTTATATGTGTGATATTGTGTATATAAATATATATTTTTTTTTCTTTTTTTTTAACTATCAGGAGTGCTTGACCAAGGGACTAAAGATGGCTTCATCCAGTCCCACTAAACCAATACCTACCTACCCCCATCCTTAACCTAAGTAACCACACTGACAACAAATGGAGTTAATGGCCCAAACCGGCCGTTTATTATAACCATCAATACATAACATTTTAAATAACAGAAAACACAGTATAACATACGTTCCTGCAAGGTCCCAATAGGCATCAAGAAAACGAATACCTGCGTCCTGCTTAACTAGGCCTCCAGCCACAACATCACCGACTCGGAGACACCACCACAGATACCCCCACCATCACAACTGGAAGCCGTACCTCAGATGGGTTCCTACAAAGTGTGTTTCCTACAAAGTGTCTAACTAGGCCTCCAGCTGCAACATCACCGACTCGGAGACACCACCGCAGATACCCCCACCAGCACAACTGGAAGCCGTACCTCAGATGGGTTCCTCCAAAGTGTCTTTTCTTGTGCCCACCTTAAGCAACGAGGACCTTGCACCGCAGATACCCCCACCATCACAACTGGAAGCCGTACCTCAGACGGGTTCCTACAAAGTGTCTTTTCTTGTGCCCACCTTAAGCAATGAGGACCTTGCACCGCAGATACCCCCACCAGCACAACTGGAAGCCGTACCTCAGATGGGTTCCTCCAAAGTGTCTTTTCTTGTGCCCACCTTAAGCAACGAGGACCTTGCACCGCAGATACCCCCACCATCACAAACTGGAAGCCGTACCTCAGATGGGTTCCTACAAAGTGTCTTTTCTTGTGCCCACCTTAACCAACGAGGACCTTGCACCCCGCCAAACGTCCCCCCCAGCACCAATATGGCACAACCACCACCCAGACAAACCATAAAACAACGGGCGGGCAGGAGGGAGGGAAGTTTGCCTTGTGAAAACTCTCTTCAGACTGAAGACCCCTGCCTCACCCTGTCAGACCACCCCTCGTAGCTCCCCCAGGTCCTTCCTTAACACCATTTAGACTCCCTCTTATGCTAATGGGACTCTCCCAACCCCCGTCATGCCGGCCCTTCTTTCAGGTCTTCTTTCCTCTTACTCCGGGCCTTCCTTTATTAAAGAGAGGCATGACACATTGCATTAAAACAGAAAAACAAACAGTTGACATGGCATAACATAGAAGTTTAAAGGATCACACGTTATATCCGAAAATATTTGGCGTCACCACATAAAGTACATGCAGAATGTAATACATCACTCGTGGGTTCGACCATAACAGTCTTAGTATGAGGATCAGCTCTAACTTCTCAGGGAGAGGAAATTTGATGGGGGAGAAGAAGAAAGAGGAGGGGAAGGAGAAAAGAGGGGGGGACAAGAGAGCACTGGCATTGCAGGGGGGGGGGATACGTATCTGTGAGAGCCAAGGGGTACACATGCACTACCCAACTTACAGTTAGATAGGGAAGGGCCTGACCAGATCCATCCAATTGGGACACCCCATGGCTGCCATACTTTATCATATTTCCAGGGGCAACCTCGATGAATATATGTCAGCTTGTAGAGGGGCAGAGCAGTGTGAATCATGGTTCTCCATGAGGACATGTCTGGGGGGATGCAGTAGATGTCCATTTACAAAGGATTTCCTTCTTAGCGTAGAATAAAAGGTAAGAGATCAATAATTTACAATGATAGGAAAGCGGATCGTCATCATGAATCCCTAAGAGGGCCAACTCCGGAGTTTTAGGAATCAACAGCTGAAGTATACTTTTGATAAGATCAAAAACGTCCGACCAAAAACCATTAACCCTAGGACATTCCCAAAACATATGAAAATATGAATCTGGCAATGAGGGAAATATGGGTCCCTGTGCCGGTACATTTTGTGTGGTCTCATAGGGGTATAGCATATGCGATTAAGGAATTTAGTCTGGATTAGTTGATCTCTAGAGGAGACCACTAGTTTAGGGCATTGTTCAAGACAGTCCTCCCCAATCTTCTATATCCAGGTAAGGAATATCCCCGTTCCAGAGGTCCCATAACTTTTAAATTTTGGGAGAGTTGGTAATGAGCAAGCCCTGTACAGAGCAGATAGTATGTGATGAAGGAATTTAGTCTGGATTCATTTATCTCTAGAGGAGACCACTAGTTTAGGGCATTGTTCAAGACAGTCCTCCCAATCTTCTCTATCCAGGTGTCAGAGCCTGGGATCAAACCTGGTCCTTCTGCAGTGAGAGGCAATGTCTCTTCTCACTGAGCTATCTGGAATGCTGGACAGCTCCCTTGACAATTCTTGGATAATCCTGCCTTGTGCCTTGATTACTCTTGAACCTTGAACTCCTTGCTCCTCCCATGAACTTCCTTATAAAAGCCATGTCCATGCACTTCCTCCTTGCCAGATTATTGTGCCTTTCCAGCCAATATCCCGCTATTGTTCCTGCTGCTGTCTACACCTCCGCTACTGACCTTTGGCTTGTTCCTGACCACGATTTCGTCTCATCCTAACGTACTACGATTGATCTGCTACCATTTGTGACCGACCCTTGGCTTGTGACCGACTCTGCTTTCGTCTGATCCCTAACCTGTTGATCCGCTATTGGTTCCCAGTCTGCTCATTCCCTGGTGGGGTGATCCTGAGATCTGCGACCTGGTATTAACACGCAGCCCAATCCATCTCCACCATTAGGAGCTCTGGTGAATACCGGTTAATACTTAGACCCCGCACCTCAGGTGAGCCTGCGTCATTCCAAGGGGGATCAGCTGGTGTACCAATCCTGCTGGTTCCAGGTAAGCCTTTTACTGCTATAGCAAGTGGTCTCTGAACCTGACCTTATATCGTGACACCAGGTAAGGAATATCCCCGCTCCAGAAGTCCCATAACCTTTCAATTTGGGGAGAGTCAGTAATGAGCAAGATCCTGTATAGAGCAGATAGTGGATTACGAAGAGTACCTTGAGATAAAAGTTCTTCCACAGGATCCGTCCGGAGGAGGGACTGGGTAGGAAACTGAGATCTTGCAGCATGATGCAATTGGACATACCGAAAAAAACATCCAACCTGACAACTGAAACGACTGAGAGAGCTGAGAGAAGGTCACTAAGTTGCCCGCAGGCATAATATCACAGAGAGTCTTCACCTTGTATCGCGCCCATAACTCTGGATCAGGAACAGACCGAAAGTGAGGTAGATTGGGGTTACCCCAGAGAGGTTGAACGGGGGACCAACACAGTTCTTGCAGAAACCGACATCTAGCCGCCATCTAAACCTTCAAAGTTGGACCTGGCACTGCATCGTTTGCCCTAGCACCCCTATAGACCAAGTTACA